TTACTTTTGGTCATCAGGGCTGCTCATGAAATGAGAAAGAATCCAAGTGAGGAGTACCTCCGTACTGACAGACAAAAACGTTGTAAATCTATGGAGCCCAAAAAAGTGACAAGACAGAAATCAAAGTAACAAGATCAGTAAACAATAAGTTATTAGCTAAATAATTAAAGTGGAGAGCAAAACAGTGAAATGTATAAACATAACTTGATACTTTCTCTATAACCTCCAATCAGAGGGTAGAAAAGACAAAAAAACAAACAAGAAAACTAAGAAGTTTAAAAATAAAATGCTTTACATCACTTTTTATAAAAACTTAATTTAATCATTTGACTAAAAGTATTTTTAATTAAAGTTTTCAGTTATATTTTTGACATCTGATTTTTTATTGGCCTTTTGTCTTTTTTGGGACTCCATATCAATCAAGTGAAAGTGTAAAGCAGTCTGATGAGAATGGATCTGAATGGACAGTTATCAGTATGCATGAAAACAGACAGTGTTTAAAGAGGTCACACATACAAAAACACACAAACACCTCCAACTGTGAAACATATTTAATACTCAGTGTATACACTTTGACCAGCGGTTGAAAAATACTGTACATCTCCACTGTGAAACATCCAATTACAGTAAACTTCAGACCAGAATAATTTACAAACCACAACACACCAGCTTCATCCAGCTGGTGAGACTTAAAGGACAATACCAGTGTTTTCATGTTTTACACCATTAATCCACGAATCCTCCATCAGTTCTTCCATTGTTCCTTTCCTTCCAGACAGCCATTGATTTCAGTTCATTTCTACGACAAACTCGCAGACAGATAATCCATCACAGTCAACATCATGTAATCATCTTAAAACTGCCTGATGTGTTCAAGTGCTGGGGAGAAGCTCAATGAGCTAAAAAAACAAACATTTAAAAAAATAATTTCCTGCTTTTAAAATATGCTGTTTAACCAGTGAAGAGAGTGAAGTGAAATGAAGTCTCAGATGTCCAAGCAGCAGTTGAATGCAACACACTACCATGCAGTGATAATGGAACAGTTACAAAAAACAAACAAATTGAGTGCACTGAAAGCCCCACAGGAGAGGGGGACAATAATACACCAGTGTGCACATAAAGGGGGTGGACTGGAGCATTTTCAAGTGGTAACTGAATAACAACACCAAATCTCAGAAAATAAAAAGGATCTTTTCAGTTTATTACAACTTATTTTCAATAGCTTCGTCCTTTTATTTCTATCACTACTGTAACACTGTAGCTCAGGTTAAAGGAATAGTTGG